CTTAAAGACTCAATTAAGCGCAAAGCTGTTTTTCTGTTCTGCAAGAGGCAACAGGCAGTTTTGTTCTCCAGGAAACTCATCCTGAGGAAGCTGATGTGAAGTTTGGGTCACAACAATGGGAGATAAAATTTTTTAGTCATGGTACAGACAGGTCGGCTGGGTTTGCTATTTGTTCCAACAGATGTCCTGGTAGGTTTTTGTGCACCATGGCAGACAAACATGGACATTGGGTTGCCTGAGTGTGAAATACTGATAATACTCTGATTATTTTGGTTAATGTTTATGGATACAACAACGTTCAAGAGAACAAGAACCTGCTGCATCAGATTTCTACAGTTATAAAGGAACTTTATTCCCTACTGATTATATAAGATAAGATAAAACTTTATTAATCCCTCGGGTGGGTTCCTCTGGGAAATTCGGTAGTATATAGTAGTTAGATATAGTAGTTGGAGGTGATTTCAACGTGACTCCTGATGAATGGTTGGATAGATGGCCTTCAAAATTTTGAAGAGAACATAAAAACCCAATATTTGAAAATTTCGCTAATGATACTGATACTAAATTAATAGATGTGTGGAGATTGTTACACAAAGATGTAAAACAATTCACCTGGCACAAACCTAATGGTCAAAGCAGGTCACGTATTGATTATTGGTTGGTATCCAACTCAGTTTTACAATATGTTAAGGAAACAGTCATCTCTAACGGTCCCTTAAGTGACCATTGCGCCATTATTCTACAAAGCAAAGACCAAAACAACACATTTAAGGATTATTGGAAATTTAACTGTCAGATGCTGAGAAATGAGAGTATTGTAATTCTATTAAAAAAATAATTTTAGATATCCAGAATGATGAAGCCATCAATACACCGATACTCAAATGGGAATATCTTACATTTAGAATCAGAAAAACCTCAATTGCATTTGGTAAAAAGTTCAACAGACAAAGGAAAGAAGAGGAATCAAGTGTAGTAAAAGAACTTATGAATCTTTATGGCAAATTGAATTGGACTGAGGAAGAAAAAGGAAAAATTAATAACTTACAATCTAAATTGGACGAAATGTACCTTTATAGAGCCAAGGCTGCTTATTTGCACCCTAAGCCAAGTGGATAGAAGAGGGTGAAAAGAACACTGCCTATTTTTGCAATCTAGAAAAACGTAGACAAGAATATAATTCAATATGTAACCTAATAATCAACGGAGAGGAAATTACAGACACTGAACGCATTATTTACTTTTTACAGTAACCTTTATAAGTCTTCATACTCAGAACAAAATGTCACCTCCTTCTTTGACAAAATCAGTAATTGGATTCCAGTAATTGATGATAATTTTAGAGAAATTTGTGATGAAGACC